AATAACTATAAATTTATATCTTCAAAAACCAGCTCCAAACGCAGCAAATAGAAGGGAAAAACGATTGCCACGTGTAGGGATTACGTTTCTAGGCACGGGAGCAATGTTTAATGGTAGAAATAGCCAAAACTCACCTTCATTATGCTAGGACTTCATAGAAACCCTCTCCTAAGCCTTCTCTCTGGTTTTTGAACTGAAATAAACTGTTTCCATGGCTAAAAATGTTAAATAGCCGACATACCATATTTCTTTACCCGACCCGGATTCTGCCCTGGCAGTCTCCAGTAAAACTCTCATAACTTTTTACTCGGATGTCCGTTTAATACGGGGTTTTGTGCGTTGCAAACTAGACTCGTAGGCCTTCGATTTAATGGGTAATAGGCCTTCTAACTCTTTACATATTGGGAGAAAACATCCAATACATTTGACCCAAATTTCAAAGAAATATTTAAAAAGGAACTTATGATAACTTTCGCCAAATTTTATTTTGCCACTTACTTAACTTCAAAACTTGAGATAAAACCCTTGAACACTTAAAATATGACATACCACATCCTTTTTAATCTGTTACTCACCCTCTTTGTCTTTCCACGAAGGTACGAGTTAATTTAGACGTTTTAGAAAAGTCAGGGTGTTACATTGTTCCCCCCTTAGAAACATTCTTCCTCGAATGAAAAAAAAATCTGAGTCACACAATCATGTCCCTAGGAGTTGCCAAAGTATAGGTAAAGTATCATTTGTGAATATGACTATCCATAACCTGAAACGCAGAAACTCTAACCTAGGCGTCTCACATGACGACATAAATAGCTAAGCACTATAGCTCCGCAATAACAGTGCGAGAAAAATACAACGACAACAACCATAATAATAAGCAATAATAATAAAAATGGATAGGTATCTAACCTTACTTCACTAATATAAATTGATATGCTATCACCCTGGGGTATGAAACAAGTGAGGATATTTGGACCTCATGCCATCCTCAACTTCCCAGGTCACCTCTTCTCTATTCTTGTTTCTCCACAATACTTTAACCGAAGCCACCTCCTTGGTCCTCAATTTACGGATCTGTCGATCTAATATGGCAACTGGAGTTTTCTCGTAGGACAAATCCTTTGTGATCTGAACATCCTCAGCTGGGACAACCCGATAAGGGTCTCCTAGACACTTTCGTAGCATCGATACATGGAAAACTGGATGAACATATTCTAGCCCCGAAGGCAATTCTAACTCATAAGCCACTTGTCCTACCCTCCGAAGGATCCGGTATGGCCCAATGAATCTTGGACTAAGCTTGCCTTTTTTGCCAAATCTCATAACACCTTTCATAGGCGAGACTTTTAAGAATACCCAGTCATCGACACAAAACTCTAAGTCCCTTCGTCGCACATCTGATTATGACTTTTGTCATCTTTGAGCTGTTAGCAACCTCTCCCAAATGAGCTTAACTTTCTCTACTGTCTGCTGGACTAAGTCGGGTTCGATCAACCCTGACTCACCTACCTCATACCATCCAATGGGGGATCTACATTTTCTCCCATACAAAGCCTCATAAGGTGCCATCCCGATGCTGGAATGATAACTATTATTGTATGCGAACTCAATAAGAGGCAAGTGGTCATCCCAACTTCCCTTGAAGCCTAGCGTGCACGACCGTAACATATCCTCGAGTGTCAAAATTGTGCACTCAGGCTAAGAGGCAAGTGGTCATCCCAACTTCCCTTGAAGCCTAGCGTGCACGACCGTAACATATCCTCGAGTGTCAAAATTGTGCGCTCTGCCTGGCCATCTGTTTGAGGGTGAAAGGCGGTACTAAGATTAACTTGTGTCCCTAATCCTTTCTGGAAGGACTTCCAGAAATTGGCGGTAAATTGTGCTCCTCTATCAAAGATAATAGATACTAGGACATCTTGTAGCCTAACAATCTCTCTAATATAGAGCCCTGCATAGTCTTCAGCTGTAAAAGTAGCCCTGACTAGTAAGAAGCGGGCTGATTTTGTTAGTCTGTCAACAATTACCCAAATAGGAAGCCCTGCAACATTCGAAACACACAATCGACCGCTATATTTGAGGACTCCATCTTCTGCTATATCAATTGCTAAAGACTGTTGATCCTGAGCCTTAGCTCTAAGCTGCTCTAAGCTAGGATCCTCTTGTTGTCGTGATTTTACTTCTACAACTAGAGATGATACGGTTGTATCCTGAATTGTGACCCCACTATCGTCTGCCTCTAACAACCTGACTCCTAAGCTAGCTAACTGATGAAGCTCTCATGCTAGCTCCCGCTTCTCAACACCTAAGTGGGATAAACTACCCATAGATTTTTGACTGAGGGCATCATCTACCACATTCGCTTTCCTGGATGATATAAAATATCCACGTCGTAGTCTTTCAGTAACTCAAGCCATCTACGCTGTCGAAGATATAACTCCTTTTGTTTAAAGATATATTGAAGGCTTTTATGATCTGTGAAGATGTCAACATGAACGCCATATAAATAGTGTCTCCAGATCTTTAATGCATGCACAACTGCAGCCAACTCTAAATCGTGGGTCGGATAGTTCTTCTCATGCTTCCTCAACTGCCTTGAAGCATATGCGATAACCTTACCATGTTGCATTAGAACACATCCCAACCCAAAACCAGTAGCGTCACAGTA